AATATAGACATTATGTGTATTGCAATTAACAATCTAGAACAGGAAATACACGACAGTTTGATTGGGGGGGTAGGGGAGAAAAAGAAAACAAAGCAAAATAAAATGTGTAGGAATGAATAACTAATTTCTTTGTAAACTTTCATACAAATCTCTATCTATCTATCTATCTATCTATCTATTTATTGCTGTATTAATGATACTATTTTTCTGAAATTGGTAAGGTTGTAGGGTGCTTGTAAAGTTCTGGCAATTGGCAGAGTCTTGTAGACAGGATATCAACAAATGTTGAAGAGCCTGAAGGAGATATCATAATTAATAGACTTGAGAAGAAGGGGTATGTGTGTGTGTGTGTGTGTGTGTATGCTGTGTCATAGCTGGCCCTCCATACTTTTCTCCTACCATTTCCCTTTGAGATAGTTGTCATCTTTTTTTCTCAGTATTTGACATCCTCAAAGAATGCAACTCACAGTGGACTTTGTTACAGAGAATGGCCTGTCCAAACACAGCTCTGCTCACCTCTTGTAAATACAGTCTGAACTAAATGTTGGCCATCACAAGACTATAAAAGCGTCTCCAATTTCAATTGCTCTTTGCAATCACCTGGGTGATAAAACTTCTGATGCCCAGTTCCCATCTCACAGGTGCTGACACAGCAGATCTGGCGTGTGACCGAGGCACAGATAAATTGTAAAGTCCCCTAGGGAATTCTAATGAACATTTGAGGTTGGAAACACACCCCTAAACAATTGTGCCAGGTGACCTCTGAAATGCTTGGGGATGAAGACTGTTCATGAGTCTTCTCTGACTTGGGACAGAATCCATGTAAGGGGACTGTTCTAGTGGTTTTTCCAAAGCCCTAGGTTGAACTCCTGTTTTTTTGCTTTGCTCTGCTCTTTGTTTAACTTCCTTTGACTTGAGGGGGGAAAAAGCCGCCACCTTTCTAAGACATTTTGGACATGGCATTTAACCTGGTTCATTCTGTTTCACTCTATGCTGAAAACATGCATATGCACCCCTGAAAATGCTGAATCAGAATCTACAGTTTAACTAGAACTCAAAGTGATGTTTATGTTTACATAAAAAAACTTCATTAAAATCACAATGAAAATTAAAAAAATATTAAAAATATCTTGTAGATTTCCACACAAGAAAAATTCGTACAGCTTTGTATACTCTTGTATACAGAAGACTTTTGCAGGTTCTCATATTCATAAGACTTCTTATTTCTTAGGTATATGCTGTTATTGTTAAGTGTCATTGAGTTGGCTATGACTCATAGTAGTCCTATGAACAACAGGCCTGACCTTGCCCTATCTTTAAGATCTCTGCCATGCTTCTAAGCACACTCTTACAAGCATGAGTCAGTCCATCTTGTTCTGGGTCTTCTTCTCTTTTCCTCACTCTCTACCTTTCCACACTAGATATGTTTTTTTCAAGGACTGACCTTTTTTGACAGCATACCCAAAGCATGTGAGATGAAGCCTCACCCTGCTTGCCTATAAGAAGCCCTTCTTCCAAAACAGTTGTGATTGTCCCTTGGGCAGTTCATGACATAGTCATACTCTTCAAGAACATCACAATTCAAAGGCATTTATTCTTCTTCAGTCTTCCTTATTCATCATCCAACTTTAACAGACATAAGAAGCAATAAAAGAATAAGCCCATGGTTGGCTCAGGTACACCTTAATCTTTACACTGATATCCTTACTCTTTAGCACATTTGAGAGGTCCTTGACAGCATATTTTCCCAGTGCAACATGACTTTTGATTTCTTGATAGTAATTACCATGGATGCGGATTATGCGTCCAAGTAAAATGAAATGACAGTTTCAAGTCTTTATCTCTTTGTCATGATTTTGCCTATCACTTTAGTGGTGAAAATTTTCATCTCCTTGATGTTGAAATGCAATCCATATTGAAGATCATAGTCTTTGATTTTCGTTGGTACGCGCTTCGAGTCTTATTTACTTTTTGCAAGTAAGTTTGCATCATCTACATAATGTAGGTTGTTGATGAATATACAGTGATATGTATTAAAAAATCCACACATTTCTTTATCATTGAATTGGAACCAACTCTTAGCTAACCCTCCGTCAGGTTTTCAGAGGCCTTGAATTAATTGCATGAGAGGAGATTGTCCATCTTTCCCCAGCAGATTCAACCTGCCAGGAAGGGGTTATATTTGGGTTGGCAGTGCAACTTCCTACCCAGTAGGTCCCCAGAGCTAGAGAGCTAGCCAAATTCTGTATACAGAAGAATTCCATCTAATTTTTTCCCCCTTGTGTATTTGTAAGGAACCTTGTGATATGTAGGAACTGTTATGCATGCATACAATTCACCTGGGGAGTCTTGTTAAAAATGGAGATTTTGATTCTACAATAGAAATGCAAATTCTCTGCAGGGGTCAAAGCCTCAATTTTGGAAGAGTAGAAATCTTTGGCTGCTTCTGGTGGTGGTAGGGAGAGGTCTAAGATGCAGACAATCTGTTCACAACACAACTGCTGACAACTTCAAGCTCAGTGAAGGTGAGATGAAGGAACAAGAGGCAGGAGGGCTGAGTTTTGTCATAAACCCAGCATCCTCCTTTTATTAGGGAGATCATCATTGAGAAATAGAGGGCTGTTTCACTGGAAATGCAAACCTTAATGACTAGGGAGAGGCACAGGCTTATAAATCAGCTCCTCAGCAGCTCAGTCGCCTTCCTCCCTCCTCACCCAGCTCCTTCTGTCCCTGAAACCTGGTAAGTCTGCCTTTGGCTCTAAGCGGAGATGTCTCTGTTCCTGGACTTGAAAGGAGTTCTTTTCCTGGGTGTGGACTTTGCTTTGGGGCTGTTTGATTTAAATCATTGTCAACATGCTGATCTGTTTTCTTCATTCTGATTGACATGGATTCGTTTTATTTCAGCACTAACCTGCAAGCAATCTAGGGACCTGGGGTAGAGATGTCACATTCTGTGGCAGGTGTGGGACTCCCCAGCACGGATGGAACCTTGGTGGACACAGGCCCCAAAGTGTGTGGGTTTTCAAAAATTTTACTCTGCATGACTCTCATTCTTGTGTTAGGAGTCTCCTTAAGGTCTTGGTGAACTAGTTTTGAAGTAGCCAGTGATGAAGACGTAAAACACTGTCTTGTTTCTTCTTGGTAAAAAAGCAATTATTCTTTAGAAGTGAGAGAGAGAGAGAGAGAGAGAGAGAGAGAGAGAGAGAGA